GAAATATCCCAAGAAATAATTTGTAATCCCAACAGCTCTACTTTCAATTACCATAGAGCTGATTGGGAGCAGTATCGAACATTTATGGAATATAACTTCGATCCAAACATTCCTTTGCAAACCAAAGATGAAATTAATTATGCTCTTGAATCTCTGACTACTTCTATAGTTGAAGCAAGAGCTGCCTCAGTACCAAAATGCGAGGTTAAATTCGATTCAATTATAATAGACGATGATCTTCAGCTCTTGATCCGTCTTAAAAATGTCCGTAGGAGACAATTTCAAAGAACACGCGATCCTGCCATGAAAGTTATCTGGCGGGATTTGCAAAAACAAATTAAAAAGCGATTCTCTGCCCTGAGGAACAAAACTTTTGAAAATAATGTTTCTAAATTAGACCCGAGTTCCAAACCCTTTTGGAAACTCACAAAAATTTTGAAAAAACCTCAAAAGCCAATTCCAGCGCTTAAAGAAGGTGGTAAAATTTTGATCACAAATTTGGAAAAAGCTCAGAAACTTGCTAAGCAATTCGAGAGTTCCCATAATTTCAGTTTGGGTCTTACTAGTCCTATTGAGAATCAGGTTGCTCGGGATTTTCGGAATATTTTCTCTCGGGAAAATATTTTTGATGATTCCTGGGGGACTGATTTGGACGAAGTAAGGTCTATAACTAAAAAATTTCAAAATATGAAAGCTCCAGGTGATGATGGAATTTTCTATATCCTCATCAAAAAACTCCCAGAGAGTACCTTGTCTTTCTTGGTAAAATTATTTAACAGATGTTTCCATTTGGCATACTTTCCTGATAAATGGAAAAATGCAAAAGTTGTTCCAATTTTGAAGCCGGATAAAAATCCAGCTGAAGCTTCTAGCTACCGTCCAATAAGTTTGCTTTCTTCAATAAGTAAACTTTTTGAAAAAATAATTTTGAATAGAATGATGCTTCACATCAATACGAACTCAATTTTTGCAGATGAGCAGTTTGGATTTCGCCATGGGCATTCAACTACTCATCAACTCTTGAGAGTTACCAATTTAATTCGTTCAAACAAATCTGAAGGCCACTCAACTGGAGTTGCTCTTCTAGACATAGAAAAAGCATTCGACAGTGTTTGGCATGAAGGTTTGATTGCTAAATTGAAAAAGTTTAATTTTCCACTTTACATTATGAAATTAGTTCAAAATTATTTAACTGACAGTATTCTGCAGGTAAATTATCAAAATTCCAAATCTAATCGACTACCTGTTAGAGCAGGAGTTCCTCAGGGTAGCATTCTTGGGCCTATATTGTATAACATTTTCACTTCGGACCTCCCTGATTTGCCTCAGGGTTGCCACAAATCTTTGTTCGCTGATGACACAGGCATTTCCGCTAAAGGAAGAAGTCTTCGTGTTATTTGCAGCAGACTTCAGAAAAGTTTAGATATTTTCTCTTCTTATTTACAAAAATGGAAGATTTCTCCCAACGCTTCCAAAACTCAACTTATAATATTTCCACATAAGCCCAGGGCTTCCTTTTTGAAACCTAGTAGTAGTCACATAGTCACTATGAACGGAGTTCCAATTTCCTGGTCAAACCAAGTGAAATATCTTGGATTAATACTTGACCATAAATTAACTTTTAAAGATCACATTGAGGGCATTCAAGCCAAATGTAACAAATATATAAAATGTTTGTATCCTCTTATAAACAGGAAATCCAAACTTTGCCTGACGAATAAACTTCTAATATTTAAACAAGTTTTTAGACCGGCCATGCTTTACGCTGTGCCAATATGGTCTAGTTGTTGCACTACCAGGAAAAAAGCACTTCAAAGGATTCAGAACAAAATTCTGAAGATGATTTTGAAGTTGCCTCCCTGGTACAGTACAACCGAAGTACATAGAATTTCGAATGTTGAGACTTTAGCACAAATGTCCAACAAAATAATTAATAATTTCCGGCAAAAATCGTTACAATCCTCAATTGCAACGATTAATTCCCTTTATACTTAGATAAGATTTAGTTTTAGTTATTTAGTTTTAAGCTATCAATTGTTATACTGACATGCAGGTTTAAAAAACCTGTTTAAAATACTGAATTGCCAAGACAGGAACAATGTAAAAACACTTAGATATATATCATAACAATTAAGGCTGGTAAGTTACTGTAGTAACTGGAGCACCTAGGTTAAAAATGAAATGTAATTTATTTTGAATTTGGAACAAATAAAGAGTTAAAAAAAAAAAAAAAAAAAAAAAAATCATTTGGTTTGCACCAAATGCAAACACACACACAGAGAGAGAGAGAGAGAGAGAGAGAGAGAGAGAGAGAGAGAGAGAGAGAGAAAACAACACACACACACACACACACACACACACAGATACACAAAAACATCATGACATTCGACAAGAAAACATCCAGACATTAAAACTGACGTACGAATGAGAAGAAGACATAGACAAAGACAGACCAGCGATTACCGAGCCATTAAGATTTTCAAGAAGATTATGATTAATCAAGATCGTGAATCCGGTGTTTAATTGGTCACCATAGACTAATCCGTCCGGCATCGTAGTCACTTGAAAATTTTTCTCATCAACCCCGATCATTGCAATCCTATGGGGATAAAAAAAAAAAAAAAAATTCATCTTCACGTCAATATATTGATACGTGTGGGGTTCGCTTAACAGACATACCACCCCCTTCCCTTCCCGGGGTCGATGTTTTATTTTTTCGAAATCTTTTTAAAGTCGATAAAGTAGATCTGTCAAGCCAACACATACACTCTAAAGAACACTGTTATTCAATAAATTCGCCAACCAACAGTAAAATAACAATAATAGGGGAAATGCAGGTAATGTCGGCCGAAGTGTCCCTAATTTGGGCCCATACATAAATTTAGCAATCGACTTAATTTTCAATAGCAACCAAAAATATCCATTAGCAACGTCCCAATAGCCAAAAAAGTAAAACCAAGAATAATTTATGCATCACTAGTTTGGTGGCCAAAAACAGTGCAAAAAACAGCTCAACAAAGACTTGAAAAACTGCAGAGGTTGGCCACTACCTCCATAACTGGAGCAATGCGCAGTACTCCATCTAAAGCCTTAGAAGCTTTGCTTAATCTTCTTCCTTTACATCAATTCATTCAACTGGATGCAATGAAGAATGCTCTCAGACTCAGACGAACAAAAGAGCTCTTTGAAGGAGATCTTAAAAATCATATGAGCATCTTGAAAGAGATTCAATTAAGTCCACTAATTTTAAAGAATGAAGATTTTATGGCAAAAACTCATGAATTCAACCATCTATTTAATGTGTTTAATACAACACGCAATGATTGGGAGACTGGAGGGCCGTTGATTCGTCCTGGGTCTATAACATTCTACACGGATGGCTCAAAACAGGATAACAGGGTAGGGGCAGGAATAACAGGTCCCGGAATTAACTGTTCTGTAGCAATGGGTAAATGGCCAACAGTATTCCAAGCAGAAATATTTGCGATTCTAGAATGTGTAGAAATATGTTTAAAAAGAAATTATAGGAATGCAAACATATGCATTTTTCGGACAGTCAAGCAGCATTGAATGCCCTTAAATCAATGACCTACACTTCAAAGTTAGTGTGGGAATGCTATAATCAACTTCAGAAATTGTCCTGTCGTAACAAGGTAAATCTATATTGGGTTCCTGGTCATTGCGGCATTGAAGGAAATGAAAAAGCTGATCAATTAGCAAAGCTTGGCTCATCCCAGAAATTTATTGGTCCCGAACCATTTATTGGTCTATCGCCTTCTAATCTGAAAATGGAATTAAAGAACTGGGAAAAAAGCAAGGTACAATCCAATTGGAATAATACCTCAACAGCCCGACAATCTAAACAATTCATTAAGCCCAACGTTTTGAGTACGCAAAGGTTACTCAATCTTTCCAAAAAAGATTTAAGCACCTACACTGGATTAATAACAGGACATTGTCCTTGTAAATATCATTTTAAAAAAATTGGAAAGCTTAGCGACGATAGATGTCGCTTTTGTTATTTGGAGAGCGAAAGCTCTGAACATTTATTGTGTGATTGCACTGCTTTATTTAATAAACGATGCAGATTTCTTGATAAAGGACTCACCGTACGTGAAGAAATTTGGACCAGTATACCCAATAAAGTTGTAAACTTCATTCGAAGTGCAATTCCATATTGGGATAATGCCGATGATCAATGATGAAGATCACTCTACATAGTGGTTGATCATCAAAACACACGGCAAATAGTAAAAAGAGGATACACCACAATAGATCAAAACACTGGTCGCAGTGGTAAATGTCCACGACACGGAAAAAAAAACGTCCCAATACCATGGAGGTAACTCTAAGACTAGAAGGTCCCGAAATGATGTGTTCAACTTTTTGGCTCAGCTCTGGTACTCTCTTCGGTCCCAAGTTAATCGATTCACCCCTCGAAACATAGGAAAAACCAATAACCCCTCATTTTATCTGTCAAACTTTCATAGCGAATCAAAACAAACATTGCGTAGTACTAGAATTTCGACTAGAATGGGATACGTTAATCGTTTGCTTGGGACCAATAGGCTAGTCAAGTAGTGAACCAATTTAAAATCGTTAGTTTCGTATTGATTGTTGCCAATACCGCGTTCATCTAGATAAAATTGATAAATAGCAAATTTTTAGCGATGGGCCCAATCTTAGATCCATAGGCCAACATTTCTCCTATATAATGTTATTGAAAAAAATTATATGGTGAAATCTCGAAAATTTCATTGTTAAGATACCCCCCTTTTTCCATTTACAAAGAAATTTACAGTACAACATAAATCAAGGTAAATTTATTGTAGACGCAACAATATAAATCATTGTTAGGACAATAATTTTCGTCTTATTGTTTCATTGTTTTTTAATGTATTTTTGTTGTTATTTTTTTCGGGTAAACTCTCGCCTAAACATAAACGAAAATAATTTCCAGATTTAAAGAGTACTAAATTATCCATCGTTTTGCTTTCCAGGTGTGTAACAAATCATTTGCTCGGGTGGGTGACCGGAACGTTCACACGCGTACACATTCGGACGAGAAACCACACCAATGCTCTTTCTGCGGAAGGGGCTTCAACTTGGCCAAGGCACTTCGGGCTCATGTGCGGAAACATACGGGAGAAAGGCCATTCGTGTGCATCATTTGCAATGCCGGCTTCACCTGTCACAAAACTCTTGCTTGTAGGTATCTATGAAGTGCGGTCTTGGTTACGGTAGTATTTATATATTGCAACACGAACTTTTTTCATCTTTGGTACAGCTCACACCCGGAGGCAACACGCGGAAAATCCACAGGTTCTCGGAAAGGTAGACGAGTTAACACAGACGGTGTTGTTTGCAACTTCATCTGCTGTGGTAGGAGATGGGGCCTCAACGATGGTAACTAAATCGGAGACTTGTTAAAATGGTTAAATTACATGCGCGAAACTATAATGACATACACAAGGGATATGTTTTTATCCGAACGACCCTTGGAGAACAGGTCTATAAAACTATTGATTGTGAGTTTCATATTTAATAATTCACTAGAAAATTTTCATTCGATCGAAAGTAATAAATGTAAACAATGTCTTCAAAAGTCTTTTTTCGGAACAAACTGCTAGCTCGCCCACGCGAACTATCACCACATTATCAGATAGAATAAATTTTCACTTTCCTGATGGTAGTGCTAGTTTGCGTGGGTGAGCTAGAAATCCCAGAAAATTTACGTGCGTATTTCTCGACTACTTTTTCGAAGGGACGTATCAGTTTTTATTGACAATGCATTTGATCGTCGATTTGACGTAACTGGCAGCTTGCCAGCTTGGTATTGTCTCGTGCCAGTATAAACTGGAAATACGATCTAATTTGGGCATTAACTTTGGAGTGGCGAGAGAGAAATGTAAGTAGTAAAGTTTAAAGATTATTTCAAGTTTACTGATTTTAAAGTGCTCCCCAAAATCTGTCTATCATCGCGCTATATAGCAGACAATCCAAAGTCTCGGACACGATCGCGTGCGAAGGAAGTAGTCTGAATTGCCACCCAAACTGTTATCCCGGCAGGGATGAGGGTGTAGACGGAAGCAATGGCCTCAGCAACTACCCGGATTGTTGTAGTTCTATCGGAAGCGTAACTGAAAAGACAGTACAAGGCAACAGCAGTGGCTCAGATTGTAGTCCCAGCGGTGGAAAAGCTGTGGAGACAATTTTTGGTGAAAGCAGTCAGGACGCAACAGAGGAGCTGAACTGAATAGCCTCTTTTCGTGGTTTGAAAGCACGTAAGTCAATTCTAGACGAACATTTGAAAGGGGCGGAAGAGCCAAAATGTAAATAAACCATATTTTGGCACATATAAAGAGAACGGTTCACAAACTACTCGATAAACACGAAAAAGTAGAAGAAAATATCACTTCAAATCATCAAAAACGTTTCTTCTCACATGGCGTACTTCCAATTTTCAACTCGATTATGCAACTGGTTGTTACGCCTTGCACTAGAGCAACGAATTATATTGTTTTAATATGCCAAACGTATTGATTCTGTAGTATCTAGTCACGCCCGATTCATTTCAAACGCATCTGATTGATATTTTACGTGTAAACAACGAACAAAATGAAGACCAAAAAATCTCCGGGCGTAATTCCACTCTCACAAAATTTGCGAACGAAGAACGTAGGCGGAACAACAAACAAAAAATCCCGAGGGTGTACTTCCACGGCGTATCACCAGTGTTGGCAGGGTAACAACACGTAAGAAATTATCAGGGCGTATGATGTTTTCTTCTCAATTTCACGACAAAGAAAGCTTTTTTATTTAGTTTTTAGTGATGCATGATGATAGATTACACTATTAACTATATGTTAAGCTTATAAAATCATCCAGAAAATGGAAAGTCGTGAAATAGGATTAATTTTTAGATCATCAAAATTCGGAAGCGATTTTCTCGATATGGTAATTTTGGAGTTCCGCCCTTTTCAAATGTTAGTCTAGATTTGTTCTTTGACTCTCTCTCTCTATCCAGGTCGATGACGAAGACGATTCATTAGTGTATTCACCAGGCGTCCTGAAAAACCTGCTGAAAAAACAGTCAGTGTTTGGGACCAAAGCTGAAGAACTGGAGCTATCTACGGAGGGACAAAAATTCGTGACGGATGTCGTAGCTAAATACCACCTGTCAAGAAAATGCAAAACAACATCACAGCTAATGGAAGACTATGCCACTGTCATTGTGAAAGTTTTCAAAAGAGAGCAAAAGGTATTAACGATGTGAAAATATCACTAAAATGTGGGGGTTTTAATGATACTTGTTTTGCAGGACACGTATTATATTCCGAAGAAAGGAAACCCAGGCGGCAAGCTATACAGTCGAATCAACTATATTCGACAGGCCGACCGTAAGAGGATCAAGGAAGAAGACAATCGTCAGACGTTCTCAAAGATTCCTGAGACAACATTCGCTCCAGAAATCCTAAACGGCATTTCGTGGTTGCAATTGAACCGACTCCCATGGTCGAACGTTTTGTCCAGTGGGAAATTACTTTTCTCGACAGAAAGCACTGTGACCAAAAGAAAATTCCAAATCTATTTAAGAAGTATGCAATATCAGTGCAAACGAGGCTGCGGACAAGCTGGCAGCAATCGGCAGATCGAAAACCCCAGTGGAACTGGAAGTCCCTGCAGCGGATTTAAAAATCTGGATCAAAACGAGCATCGCTTCGGCATGGGACAAGAAAAGGGCTAATACCCGAGACCCTTTCTTACGCAAAATAAAAGGAGATACGAAATGCTGGTCCGACACCAAAAACTGGAAGGACCAGAGAGTACTGTCCAGATTACGCTGCGGCTACACCAGATTCTCACACGATCTCGGATCCCGTGATGGATTCCACAAACAATGTATGGGGTGCTCAACCAAAATGTCATAATAAATTGCCCTGCACATCAAAACCTCCGAGACCAATACGGTATCGGTCTCAGCATCAGAGACGCATTATCCAATGACCCAGACAGGGAAAGATTACTTCTTGACTTCCTTAAAGACACAGGCTATTATCAATATACGTAGAACCCCGCAACGAACAATAACACGACAACGGACGAACGGCGGCACACATAAAGCAAAAAAAAAATATATATTTAAGTACCCACATCTCAAAGACGGAATTTTGGAGAGTGTATTGTTGCTTACGGGAACGTTCACTATACGCTTGCGATCATTGTGAGAGTAATAGATGTTTATGTCAAACTGTTCGTAGTGCTCGGTCTGCCTCCTTCGAAGATATCCAAGCCGATTTGGCTTTTCATATTGAAATACGTTTACAGTATTAATAAAACCTGCTAGTACGTGTCCATCTAAAACTTGATAAAGTTCATCGAATCATGCTCGTGACATGTTGTCTTGCCGACTGCACAGCTCAGTTTTCGGAGGTGGATTTTTTTCAGTGCATCTCGATGGTCACGGACCCCCATCTCACTACCAATACCGATGCACATATCCTGGATGTCAACAATTGTTCACCAAGACATACTGTTTCAAACGACATTATAAACTTCATCGTTACCCACCCGTCGAAGATCCTAGTGCGCTGATCACGGCAGAATGTTCATCGTTCAACGTCGGTACATCGGTCGAATCAAGAGACTGTTATACCAACCGGTGGAAACTAACAATTTTAAATTGGTTCACTACTTGACTAGCCTATTGGTCCCAAGCAAATCGATTAACGTACCCCATTATAGTCGAAATTTTAGTACTACACTATATTTGTTTTGATTCGATATGAAAGTTTGACAGATAAAATGAGGGGGTCCGTGGATTTTCCTATGTTTCGAGGGGTGCATCGATTAGCTTGGGACCGAAGATAGTACCAGAGCTGAGCCAAAAAGTTCAGCACATTTGTTCGGGACCTTCTGGTCTTAGGCTGTGTTCCATTTGGTGAATTTTCACTTAAATTTGACAGATGGAAAATTTTCAAATAAACCTGCTATTCCAGCAGACTTATTTCTGACAGACAAGGAATCAACTTTGACAGATGCTTTCTCGAAAATCGGCCGTTCAACAACAGAGGGATTTTCGAACATCATAATTTATTTTCGAAGTGTCAAATTTAAGTGAAAATTTTCCAAATGGAACACAGCCTTAGAGTTACCTCTATGGTTATACCAACAATCAATACGAAACTAACGATTTTAAATTGGCTCACCACTTTAGTAGCCTATTGGTCCCAAGCAAACGATTAACGTACCCTATTCTAGTTGAAATTCTATTACTACACTATGTTTGTTTTGATTCGCTATGAAAGTTTGACAGATAACATCAGGGGTGTGTGGATTCATGCAGAACATGCAGGGGTGAGTGAAATAGCTTGGGACTGCTTGGGACCGTTGTTCTGGTACTGAGTGAGCCAAAAATAATAATGATTTTCTTCGTGACCCAGTGGTCTTAGAGTTACCTCTATGGTTATACCAACCGGTGAACACTCGTGTTTATTTCAGTTACCGTGGGGACGTAATTTGTGATTAGCCCCGGTCCCTTTCAAATTGTATCATTATTTATGAACGATCCTTATATTTGAAATGACGTTTCACATTCATCTAGTGATGGTCGATTTTCATTCGAATAATCGATTAACGGACCGAACAGTAAAATATTTGTAATCGATTATATCATGCCGATATAAGCATTAACATCTCCAGAGGATCATCACCGATCGTTTCAAGCATGTGTTGCACTCTCATTGGTGGAAAAATGGCAGCACAGCGAACAAAAATAATCGATTAGTTGTTAATCGAGTATTTAAAAAATAGGACATCTCTGATTTTGGTGTCATTGTTTTGATAAAAATGAGCACAAAATTTCATCTCTACCGAGGGGGCAGCAAAACCACAAAATTACCTTGAATACGGGGGGGATTCATTGGATGAAAGGGACCGTGAAAGAGGACACTGAAATTGAAAGTTTTTCGTCCGACAGTTTCATCTTAGTAATCATCTTTGGTTATACTACACCTTCCAAAGTACAAAGAATAGAAGATTTCCAAGAAGTTCAACAGGTTACGTCAAATCATCAGAAGATAAAAGAATAGACTATTTCAATCTTTTTGCCGCTGGTATCATTCGAAAAGTAGCAATAAAAAGTTCGGGAATAAATAAGTTATTAGAACATTTAATAATTCCCTTCAGTAGTCTTTAGAAAGAAGAATTGAACATGAAGTTAGAAGGAGTCGATAAAAATGTTAGATTTATTCTGTGTTTATTCCAAGGTGACAACTTAGGAGTTCATTCATTGCTCTCTTTATCTAGTAGCTCATTGGATTGTACTAGCATTTTCACCAAATCGACAGTGAGCATTCATAAGGGCGAATACGCGATGATCGATTCTCTTCATCGATTTTCTCTTTGCATTGCTACAGCTAGGCGAAACAATTTTCTAGAATTTGTTCAATGCAGAGTAGTAACAGGTTGTATTGGCTATCAAAAGCAACAGCAAACGCATCGAGAAACGTTAAATGGTTAAATCTAGCGAGTTATTAACAAAAGAGAAAATCGACGAA